AAGCATTGATGCTTTTGAACTGTGGTGTTGGAGAAGACTCTTGAGAGTCCCTTGGACTGCAAGGAGATCCAACCAGTCCATCCTAAAGGAAATCAGTCCTGAATATTCATTGGAAGGACTGATGCTGAAGCTGAAACTCCAATACTTTGGCCACCCGATGTGAAGAACTGACTGATTGGAAAAGCCCCTGATGCTGGGAAAGACTGAAGGCAGGAGAAGGGGATGACAGAGGATGAGATGGCTTGATGGCATCACCGACTCAATGGACATGAGTTTGAGTAAACTCCGGGAGTTGGTGATGAACAGGGAAGCCTGGTGTGCTGCAGTCCATGGGGTTGCAGAGAGTCGGACATGACTGAGCAACTGAACTGAACTGACATGAAAAGCAAAGAGATTTACTGAAGTTAAAGGGTCGACTTCAAGGACTGCCCTGGAGGTCCAGTGGTTAGGAATCTGCCTTGCAAAGAAGGTGACATGGGTTTGCTCCCTGGTCAGGAAACTAAGGCCCCACACGCCACAGGGCAACTAAGCCTGCGAGTCGCAGATTCTGAGCCGGCACTGCAGAGCCCACACATGTGCCGCAGGCGGGGCACCCACGTGGCACGAGAAGATCCCACAGGCTGCAGCCAGGGCCTGGGAAAGCCAAACTTTTTTTTACTGTACTATGTTTTTTAAAAGTTTATTTCAGCAGAGAAGGTTCCTGGGCCGCTCTGGACAGGTGAAGGCCCCCAGAGCCCACCTCTGAGCTGGTCTCTCTGAGGACCGTCGCTCAGAAGACCCACAAGCGGTGCAGGTGGGACGCAGTGGGGGTGTCCGCAGGCTGCTGCTTCTGGAGGGTCATGGCTCAGGCAGAGGTCATTTGCCAGGAAGGACACCCCGCCCAGGCCCGCACTCACCGTGTGCCCCCCGCCCAGGCTCAGCGTCAGGCTCTTCAGGCAGCTCTCGCTGTCGGTCAGCCCGCACCTGCGCAGCTCGGCCAGCACGGTGAAGGTGCCGCTGTCACAAGGCTGGAAACACAGGCCCCCAGGCAGAGCTCATCGGCCCCCGGCCCGCCTCGGCCTCCCCGCTCCGCCCGCCCAAAGCCGGGGTGGTCTCCTGGAGGTCTCGGGAGCCCCACGGTTCGCCAGAGCCACCCGTGCGGGGAGGGCCTGGGCCCGCACCTTGGCCAGCACGTAGCTGCAGTCCCCGTGCATCGTGTACTGCTTTTCGTCGAACGTGGAGATGTGGGTGCCGCCCAGCACCGAGCAGGTCCCTGGACACGGCGCCTCCCAGCAGGTCCACCGGCCTCCGGAGCAGGTGCTGAGAGCCAGGGGGGCACCGCTTGCGTGCTGGGCCCCAGGCATGGCCCCCACCCAGACGGCAGGCCGACCGCGGGCTCGCCCAGGCCTGCCTGCCTCCCCACAGAGACTGGAGCCCCCTGGCGCCTGCCCGGACAGCTTCTGGCCTCTGCCCTGGGCCCCAGGTGGGAGCAGCCCCGCGGCACCTGGCCACAGCCCCCAGGGTGGGTCCGGGGAGCAGAGGACAGGGCCCGGGTCCTACCAGTTGGTGCAGTCTGTGGAGTAGCCGGTCCCTGGAGCGTAGGCGGCCCCACTGTACATGCAGGAGCACCCGGACACGGGGATGCAGCCCGTATGGCCGATGTCATCCAGAACCATCCCTGCAGAGGCAGGCAGGCCGTGTGGCAGGTGCGGACTATCCGCTGAGAAGGCGTGGGGAGGGGCGTGGCCCCCCACCCACCACAGGCCTGCCCTAGAGGGCTCCTGGGACCCAGGGGCCAAGGGACGCCTCAGGGGCTCTGTCCGACACCCGTGATGCATCTGTGGGATTCAGGGGCCGGGGAGGGGCTCCTTCTCACCCTCGGGGCAGAAGCAGCCGGCGACGCAGTGGTCCTCGCACAGCTGGGAGTGCTCGGGGTTGGAGCAGGTGTCCACGCAGGGTGAGCCGCATTCACGGTACTGCATGTTCAGGGGGCACGTCTGGGCTGCAGGGGAGGACAGGCTGCGTCACACCCTGCCCTGCCCCCGGCCCCGGGGGGACAGCAGGGCAGGGCCCGGGCCACGCGGGCACTCACGGCAGAGCTGGGGGCCCCGCCAGTCCAGGGGCAGCCCCCCGGCGTGGGCGCACTGGCGGGAGTACTCGGCAAGGGTGTGGCAGAGGCAGCTGGTGAGGTTGGCCTGGCTGCAGTGGCAGAGGTCGTGCCGGCAGGCCTCCAGGTAGCTGCTGGCATTCACCAGGAGGGCACAGCCCAAGAACGGCTCGCTGCTCAACATCTCCTCACAGATGCCCTGGGGCAGAGCCCGGACCCCTCGTTTAGTCTGGTCTGGAGCATCCCTGGCTCAGCCCCAGGGATGTGGGAGCAAGACCCCCACCCTGTCCACTCTGGGCCTTACAGAGTCGTTCGAGCAGGTCCCAGCATCCTCAGGGACAGGGTCCTGACACTGCTCCGTGGGGCCGTCCATCTTCTGCAGGTTCCCAAACTCGGTGGGGGTCAGCTTGACATCTGCCGGAAGGACAAGGACCGCCCGTATCCCTCGCTCAGGGTGTTCCAGCTATGCCTGTCTCCCTTGCCCACACTGCCCAGTTAAGTGGCAGCTCTGCAGGACAAGGGCATCTGGAGATGAAGTGAGGGATCCCTGGGCATTCGAGGCTGCGGGGCCATGGGATTGGCCCTTTACCTAACACTTCATGGGCCTGGGGCCGGCTTGTAGCCCAGGGGGCTGGAGGGTGAGCCCGAGCCCCTGCCGGCCGCCCCCGGGCTGGCCTCCAGTGAGCAGCCCTCACGGACGGGCCAGGCAGAGGGGACCCCAAACTCGCGGCTGCAGCAGGCGTGGGTCACAAGAAAAGCACTGTTCGCTGGCAAAGGCTCAGGACTAAGACACAGAGACAGGGTCTGGGCAGAGGCAGGTCTGCAGTTTCAGCGGAGGGGGCGGGCCCGGCGCTGAGAACAGGATGCGGCGGAGGCTGCCTGCTCTGAGGGGGGTGGGGGTTGCGGGGGGTGCGGGGGTCTGCACACGTGTGTGGAGTATGCGAGTGCTCGGGTCTGCGTGCACGTGTGGGCGGTGCACACGTGTTCAGACTGAGATCTCTGACTTGGGATTCTGGGGCAGCCTTCACGGAGCACTGAGGACCCGGGAGCGGGCGGGGTGGGGGGTCGGGGAGGCGCCCGGGAGGACTCACTGCGTGAGAAGAACTCGTTGTAGACGGGGACACCATTGAAGTCTCCACACAGCCCACATGTCTGGTTGGTGTACTTGGCGTCCAGCTCGAGCTGCCGGGAGAGGACCCGTTAGCCTCCAGCCGCACCAGGGACGCCCCAGGACCAGAAGGACGGACCAGGCTCCCGAGGAGGTCGGGGCTGCAGCTCCTCACAGAGGACCCCCGACACTCATTCCTCCAAGCCAGGACCCCGAGCAGGAGTGTGTCCTGGAGAAGACACCTCCCCCACACACGGCATCTCCATCGGGGTGTGGTCTGTCTTCCCACCCTCCTTCACCCAGAGCACCTTCTTCCCTCCCTGGGGGGCTGTCGGCCGGAGGTATGTGCCAGGACCCCGGCCCCGCCCCCGGCCTCACCAGGAGGCTGTCGTCCTGGTTCCACATGAAGACCAGGCCCAGCTTGGCCACCACCCTCAGGTTGCCGTTGCTCTGCTCAATGAGGACGCCGGACTGGCTGAAGGGCAGCTGAATTCTGCGGGGAGAGGGCCTGGCTGAGGCACGTGGGGCCCGAAGGCCCAGGCAGCAGAGGTCAGGACAGGCGGGGAGGCCCCTCAGGTCACGTCCCGACAAAGTCACCAAGGCCCAAGCGCGCGGAGCTGAGCATCAGCAGCACGAGGCGGGGGCCGTGTCCGGGGCAGCGCGGGGGCCTGAGTCCCCAGGGGAGACGGGGGCCGAGCGCGGGGGCCTGAGTCCCCAGGGGAGACGGGGGCCGAGCGCGGGGGCCTGAGTCCCCAGGGGAGACGGGGGCCGAGCGCGGGGGCCTGAGTCCCCAGGGGAGACGGGGGCCGAGCGCGGGGGCCTGAGTCCCCAGGGGAGACGGGGGCCGAGCGCGGGGGCCTGAGTCCCCAGGGGAGACGGGGGCCGAGCGCGGGGGCCTGAGTCCCCAGGGGAGACGGGGGCCGAGCGCGGGGGCCTGAGTCCCCAGGGGAGACGGGGGCTGAGCACGGGGGCCTGAGTCCCCAGGGGAGACGGGGGCCGAGCGCGGGGGCCTGAGTCCCCAGGGGAGACGGGGGCCGAGCGCGGGGGCCTGAGCCCCCAGGGGAGACGGGGGCTGAGCACGGGGGCCTGAGTCCCCAGGGGAGACGGGGGCCGAGCGCGGGGGCCTGGGCCCCAGGAGAGACGGGGGCCAAGTGCGGGGGCCTGGGGGCCTGGAGCCACCCTGCCGTGGTCCCAGGAGCACATGTGCCATCCGGGCCCAGACTCACGGGCGGCTGTTGACCAGGACGGAGCCCTTGGCCAGCCTGACAACCAGGCCGTCCAGCTTCATGATGACCATGCTGGGCGCGGTGCTGTTGGGCCCGGGGCCGCGGCGGAGCTGCAGGTTGAAGTCCTCGTAGGCGGAGCCGCAGTGCGCGGAGAAGACATAGTTGCACAGCCCAGGGAAGCGGAAGACGTCGCCGTCGAAGGTCTTGTAGTGGAAGTCGCCCCACGTGCTGCACACTCGCCCACCGTGGGCCGCGTTCAGGGCTGCGGTCAAGCAGAGCGGGCCGTTTCCGAGGGACACCAGCGATGCGGCCCGGACATCCCGAAAGCCGGGCGCTCATCCCCGCGGGGAGCCGCGCACCCTCCCACCACCTCCTGCTCTGGAGACCCAGGTGTCCGCGGACACGGCCACCCGTCCCCGACCCAGCCCCGCAGTCTCACCTCGCACCACAGGGGTGGTCCTCAGAGGTGGGTGGATGGTCACTCCACGGAGGGTGGTGCCTGAGGGAATGGGCAGCTGACACAGAGCCCTCACCCTCACCGCCCACCCCCAGCTCGACCCCCAGGAGGGCTTCCGCCGCGGAAGGGCCCACCCCCCGGCCCCCCGCTGCCGAGCTCTGGACTCTGCCCTCTGTGCGACCTCCCTGCTACGTGAGCACCAGGGCCAAAGGAGACTCAGCAGAGGTCAACTGTCATGCCCACGTGGCCCTGATATTGTTTGCACCTGGGAGTTCCCGGCTCCCGGAATCTCAAAAATGCCTGAATCAACACCCATGGATGCGAACTATGCTTCCATGCTGAGCTCAGGCCCAGGTGCACCTTCCCTGGGAGCCCCGTCCGGGGACAAGCAAACCGAGACGGCCGGGCCTGTCCCTGAGCCTGCCCTTGCTCTGTGGCCAGTGGCCTCGCCATGAGACCAGGAGGTGGTGATCAGCCTGAGCGGCCCCTCCGGGACAAGGCGTGGGCTCCAACAGGTGGGGGGTCCACTCACCACCAGGCCCCTGAGGGGCAGGAGGGCGGTCTGGGTGCTTGAAGCTGAGCTCTGCAGTGCTGTTCTGGGCCAGGCCTGCGGGAAGAGGAGTGGGCGCTGGGCTGGAGCTGGCCCCAAAGGAAGCACCAACAGAAGGGGGCGGGCCTGGAAGGTGGGGTCCTCCACGTGGACGGGGGGCCTAGGAGAGCCTCTTCTGAGTCACCCCAGGCCCTCCGCTGGGCCACCGCGCCTTCAACCATGCTCTCCATGAGTCCCCGTCCCCGCCCTGAGCCAGCTTCTCCAGGGGCCCTTCCTTGGAGCAGTGTGCAGTCATGCCCACCAAGAGTCCCCCAGGCGCCAGGCCCTGGTTCCCTGCTCAGGACACAGGGGAACAGGCGGGAGCACCCGCCAGGAGCAGCCCATCCGAGGGGCAGACCCTGAGGCCGTGCTGGCTCAGCCCCTCCAACAGGGCTGACTCAGAGCCAGCTGGGGATCTGGGACCAGGAGCACAGACAGAGCTGCACCCGGAGCGAGGTGCTCAGCGCCATCACACAGCTCAGCTCAGCTCAGCTCCGTGGAGGCCGGGCAGGCAGCGCCCGGGGACTGGCGGAGTAGGTCCAGAGGCCACCCCAAGAACCTGGCCTTGTCTCTGAGGTGTGTCCAGGGAGCCCCCAGCAGGGCAGCCTCGGCCTGAGCACTGCAGGCAGGCTCCTGGTTCCTGGGCAGGCGGGCGGCCGCAGGAGGCTGGGCACCAGGGTGCACGAGCCGCCTGGGGCAGGGGCACCTCAGCCGCACGGTATGGTCCCCGGGCTGCCGAGTGCTGGGGGCCCAACAGCCCCTGCACACATCCTGGGCCCAGCTGTGCCCTGGGAAGCAGACGGGGAGATGCCGGCCCTGGTGGGAGAGGCCTCTGAGGATGGCACCCTGCAGCCGGGAGCTCACAGATGCCCGGCTGACCCCTCCCCAACCCCCACCTGGACCCTGCAGCCCCAAAAGCGCCTCCCTGACCCCACAATCTCCTGGAGTAGGGACTGAGCAGGAAAAGCGGCCCACAGACACCCTCAGCTTCTCAGAGCCCCGGGCAAGGCCTCCGAGCTGCTTACTGCTCGCGGGGCACCTGGGCCACCCTAGGACTTGAGGGTGGCAGGGGCTCCAGGCTCCGGTCACGGCCGGCCTGGGGATGCCAGCAGGCACCTTACCTGTGTGCTGGGCGCAGGCCAGAGTGAGGGCCAGGGCCCAGAGCGGGGCCAGCCTCCTGCGGCCAACACCCATGGCGTGTGGGAGAAAGTCCCAGGGCAGCCTCTGAGGACACTCTGAGCCAGCAGGAGCCTTTTGTAGTCCTGGCGCTGGCTGCGGCCCCACGGGGCTCACGTGGGAGGGCGGGGCCAGGCCTGTGATTCCCCTCGCCCAGGTAAACAGTGGTCCCTGGCTTTGGGATGGGCAGCGGCTGAAGACAGCAGAGACGGGTGTGTCTGCAGCTGGGACATGATTCCTGGGGTCCCCCAACCCTGGCTCAGGCGTCCTCTTGCTGTGCCCCCAGCTCTGAAACTTGGCTGGGCAGGCTCCCGTGAGGCCAGCCCTTGAGCTCCTGTGCCTGGAGGCCACCGCCATCCTTCCTGCAGCCGGGGCTGCTGGGCCGGCCCCACCCTCGCTGCAGAGGGGCTCAGGGGCGGCACTCCTGGTGACAGGACACTGCCCCCCGCCCAGTGCTGCCTGGGAGGCCAGCTGTGTTCCCGGCGGGCGGTGAGCAGCCGTGGGCCAGTTCCTCCCACGCGGGCCTGTGCCCTTGAGGGGCAGGGGCGATGCCGAGTGAACCAGCCCAGGAAGTGGCCTGGTGGCCTTGGCCACGACGGGCTCTGCCTGAGGAAGCACGCTGGGGACGGTCACCCACTCAGGGTGCTGGGCACTGGGGCTGGATCTGTCCCAGGTGGCCACACACAGCACCCGCCATAACTGGTGGCCCCACTGCCACAGGGGGCCGGCCAGGAGGTTCTCCCCAGGGCAGGTCCCTTATGCTGAGGCAGGCCTGGCTCAGGGGCTCCGTGGAGCTGACTGGAGCTTCTGCTTTGGCTCTGGGGCCTGTCCCGAGCTCCTTACGGGCACCTAGCTTTCAGTCCCGGAGCCTTTCCCTCCTCACGCCCCTGATTTACCCTGGTATCTGGTAGATAGAACACCTCACACAGAAGAGGAGTGTGGGGGGCCATGGTGAGTGAGTGAATGAATGAGTGTGTGAGTGAATGACTGTGTGAATGAAAGAATGAGTGGGTGAATAAGTGAATGAGTGAGTGAGCGAATCTGGGTGAGTGATGAGTGAATAAGTGAATGAGTATGAGTGAATGAATGTGAATGAATGACTGATGAGTGAGTGAGCAAGTGAATGAATGAGTGGGTGAATGAAAGAATGAGTGGGTGAATAAGTGAATGAGTGGGTGAATAAGTGAATGAGTGAGTGAGCGAATCTGGGTGAGTGATGAGTGAATAAGTGAATGAGTGAGTATGAGTGAGTGAATGTGAATGAATGACTGATGAGTGAGTGCATGAATGAATGATTGAGTGAATGAATGAGTGAGTGAATGTGAATGAGTGAGTGAATGAGTGAGTGAATGAATGAATGCGTGAATGAATGAGTGAGTGAGTGTGAGTGATGAGCGCTGGTGGCCGCTCACACAGGCCCGGCTGAGAGGTGCAGTGGGAGCGGCCCCGCACACCGGCTGCCGCCTCGCGGCCCCACCATCCCCGCGCAGCTGCCGGGCTCTAGAGCTGGACCACAGGCAGCCTGGTGCTGAGCAGGGTGGGTCCCTAGGGGACAGTCCAAGGGTCACATCTGGCTCCAAAGGGCTGTGGCTTTTGTGTTTGGGGTATCAGATGTGGGCAATCATGCCTTGGGGCAGATTGGAGGGTCGACCTCGGGGGGCCGGAGCGCAGGTCAGGGAAGGAGGCAGGAGGCTGCGGTGATGTGACCCACCCTCCTCGTGACCGCAGGCAGGCCGAGAGGCAGCAGGACAACCGGCATCCACGCCACTGGCATGGGGCACAGGCCTGGGCCCCCCATGCCCCCGCCCCGTCTGAGCCACCAGCATATGCCCCACCCCAGGTCAGCCTGCCTTGCAGGGGAACCCCATAAGAAGCACCCCGTGGGGAGAGAGCCTGGCTTCAGGGCCGGAGTAGCCCAGTGACCCAGCCAGGAACCCAGGGGCCTTCTTCCCTGGGACCTCCCCCCGTGCCCACTGGGGGCTCTGGAAGGGTGGGTACTGGAGGGGGACCCCTTAAACTCCAGCGTCCTCCTCTCAGGGCCTCCATGCTCAGCGAGAGGCCACACAGGGGAAGGAGCCCAGCTGGATGTGTCGGCTGCCTGTTTCCCCCTCTGGACAGAGTCCATGGCAGGAGCAGGGCCTCGCGTCCAGGGCTCACGTAGGGCACTATGGCTGGGGACATGGCTGGCACAGGGCAGTGGCCCCAGAGGCCTTGCTTCCTCAGGGTCAGCTGCCCTCGGGCTGTTGCCACCCCCACCTGGACCTGATAAACTGTAGGTCAACTGGGGTCCAGCAGGGCAGTGCTTGTGTGGATGGAGGGCTGGGATCCGGCCCTGACAGGAGCTCCCACGGCTTGCCATGGCAACAGGAGGACCGTGGCGGGACGTGCCCAGGATGCAGGCTGCTGACTCTCTCCGGCAGCTCCGATTTGGGACGGGAGGCGAGCATCAGACAGCCCTGCACGTACAAGTGACTGACTCAGATGATGGGGAAATGCCCACCCGCCGAGAACCGGGCCCCACCGTGGGCCAGAAGCCCGCAGGAGCAGGGGCAGGGAGCCGGCCCTATGGGTGGGCCAGCAGCCTGCAGGAGCGGGGGCAGGGAACCAGCCCAGCGCTTTCCTCCTGGGGCGGCAGCACCCCGGGCACCCGGGGGCAGCATGGTTCTCACAGCTCTCTCCTCGGACAGACACACAGCTCACCCGTCCGCCCCTCTGGACCCGGGGCTGCCTGATCCCGACCCTGATCTCGACTTTGGCCTGGCCCAGCCCAGCCCAGCTGTTCCTGACAGAAGTGGCCAAGGCAGGGTACCCCGGCTTCAGCACTGACTGCCCAGTGCCGGGACCCCTCCCAGTTCTAGGGGGCGGCCGCGGTCCCAGCGCAGGCACCTGGGGTTCACTCTGCAGGAGCTGTGGGACCTGGGGCGCCAAGCGGTCCCGTCAGCTGCCCTCAGCCCTGACTCTCCCTACTCCCCACCAAGGTGGATGCTCTGTCCGGGGGCGCAGGTGCAGCTTCAGGGCAGCAAAAGAGGGCAGCTTCACGGCCCTTCCCATGTAGGACTCGGGGCTTGGCCTCTGCCCCTCCAGGCCAAAGAGGTGAGCACAGCAGAGTGGCCAGGCGGCTGGGAGCCAGGCCACCCTCCGCAAGCCCAGTGCCCTCAAGGGGCCGCAGTGGGGGGACCTGACTTCCATCCTCACACCTGGGGCGCACCTCCAACCCAGAGGTGGACGCCTGCACCCCAAATGCGAGGTCCCTCCAGCCCCACCCCCTGAAGAAAAGGACAGGCCTGGACCAGCCACAGATGGTAAAGCAGACAGTCGGCTGCGGCTCCTGTTTTCTGCCCAGACAGTGGAGTGGCCAGCTGTCTCCCCAGCGGGCACTCTGCCAACCCCATCTCGGACGCCCTGAGTACAGGGCCAGCTGCTCCGACACAATCACGGGGGCCCTGGTGGGACAGGTGCACTTGTTGGCGGCTTCACCGTGTCATCCAGTCCATAGGACACCAACAACTCCTGAGAGTTAGGGTCTCGGGGTGTCCCCACTTCTGGGTGACACTGGTGGGAAGCACCTGACCTCAGGGGGCCAACTAGGGTCTGAACCCAGGGCCAGGGGCTCCAGATCCCAGGAGAAGGTGCATCCTGGCCCCGACATCCGTCAGCTGTGTGCCCCCGGCCAGCACATCACCCTCCCTGGGCCTTGTCTGGAAATCAGTGATCACAGGCCGAGCTGCCCCCAGGACAGAATGGACTTCAGGGGAGCATCTCCTGAGCTGCATCCGGCCCCCAGAAGAGCCCCCACCGCCCTCGCGGGGTCCCCCCAGGAGACTTCCTGATGCCGCGCAGTGTAAGCCCTCTGATTGTGTGCATTCTAGCACGCCTGGAGTCACGGCACAGCGCAGGCCTGATTGCACTGTGACAGTCAAAAGGGCCACGCCTTCCTCGCCTGGCCACATCTGAACTCTTGACCCAGATTCTCAGCATCCGGGACCCGCAGCCGCGCCTGACTCAGGGGACCCTGTGGGCCAAGGGTGCGGCCCTGGCCATGCAGCAGACGGGCCACTCTGGGCCCTGATGTCACAGGTGGGGAACCCGCAGTCTGGGGACAGGTTGCCATGTCTCCTGCGTGGCAGGGGATGGCCCCAGGGCAAAGACAGACGGAGCCCCTCAAGCCTGCGAAGAGGAAGTGGGCACCACCTTGGCAGGAGGCGCTGGGAACCTCTGATCGCTTACAGGAATTATCGCGCTGTTGACAGAAAGGGCAGGGTAGCCCCGAGTTTCTCCCAGCCCGGAGACTTCCTTGATAAGGAGGAAGGTGCCCTCACCCTCCTGCCCGGCCCTGGGGCCCGGGAGGCAGAGACACCAAGAGATGCCCGCGGGGCGGAAGGAGAGTAAATTTGGTTTCATGGCGGGGCTGCACTGATTTGGACCTTTCTGCACGTGTTTGTTCATCTGAGTCACTGGGCAAACAGAATTCCTCCCGAGAGCTGGCCTGGAAGCCGCAACCCTGAGCCCCGACCCGCAGCCCCTGCCAGCCCTGACCCCGGATGCCCCTGCCCGTCCGCGCCCCGTGGCCAGGCCCCGCTCCGACCGGGCCTAGGAGGGCAGTGCGGGCCCTGGGGTCGCTCACCTCCCCGGGCCCAGCCCAGCTTCTCAGCCCTGCCCACCTCCTCACTCCACCTGCCCCAGGAAGCCCAGAGTCCTCAGCCCCTCCCCACCTCCCTCCACAGCTCCCCAGGCCCACTCAGCAGTCAACTCCCACCTCCCAGCACTGAGACCGTTCCAAGGAGGCACCTGTCTCCCTCGGCAGCCAGGGGCCAGGGAGCAGCTGACCCTCGAAGAAGCCCCTCCTCTGCCCTCAGAGCTCTGTGCCAGCCCCTCCCCGGGCACCGCTGTCCGCAGGCAGGGGGCTGCCAGGCCGTTGGCCTGCACAGGTCAGGAGGCGTCCGCATCACCGCCCCGTCAGCCTCCGGGAAGACAGGAGGACATGGCCAAGTGCGAGGCCGTCCGAACGGCTCTGACTG